GTTAAATTTTACACTTGTGAGTTTTGTTTACACAGGTTACTTTTAACTGCAAAAGACTGTTCAGTTAAAACTGAATGTGTATGTTAGCTTTAGTGACTAAATAATTTATCTATTACTTTAAAAGCGCCCTGTTGGACTAAATTATCGCACAACTGTTGTGCGATTGTCGATTGTTTCGCAGCCAACTGTTTAGCACAAATAAAAATCGAGTACTGGCCATATAAGCTCGTAGGAATCAAAGCAAGACTAAACAGTTGTGCGATAGTTTAGTCAAAGGTGCTCACGCTCTAGAGAAGGGATTTTTCAAAGTAACAAATCTTTATTGGAGATATTAGCACGAAATTCCAACTAAATACGTGATCAAATGTGTCATTACAGCTCTTAGATAAGCCACGATCTTTATTATACCGATAAAATATGTCGTTTTGAATATTTTTTAAACGAGTGTAGATTAAGTTTTGTTCAACATTTCACTGCATTTGTATTATATTGCACGCCCAATAAATAAATAAATTAATGAAACTAAATACAATAAATAATAAATCCTTTCTTAAATCAATATATAAATTGAAAATAAAGAAAACATTTTTCACTATTATCAAACATATCATCATCATCATCATTAACAGCCTTAGGTCGTCCCAAACAATATCAAACATATATCGTTAGCAAATAGCAATGACGTGACCAATCAGTTTAGCCGCCATTTTGACCTTGTATTAGTTTTTAATGTGGTGTCAAAGGCCGCGCGGGCGTGCAGCCAACGGATCAAGGAAACATACGTTAAGGACACTTATAAATTAAAGAAATTATCCTTGTTCCTCAAAATTAATGGGACATATTCTGTATAGAGGTTAACTAAATAATTAGAGATAGATAATCTGCATAGAAGTTGTTGTCCGCGAGATATGTTCTTTCTCTGTCGCTCTTATTGCTTTGTATAATTCCTTCTCGCTCATATTTTACGAAAATACTTTTTGGGTAATTATAATTTGTTAGACGCTTGTTTTAATTACGCACGTAGTCACAAGGATATAATTATTAATAGCTCAAATAGAGCTACCATAACCAAACAACCAAATAAGTAAAAAAAGATAACAATCACAAAATAAAATAACTGACGAGTTGATATGTTCATATCAGCTGTGACGTCACCACGTTAATACACAAATAAGCATAATAGGAACATCATCCACTATAAGTTTCCTGTTGGAAGTTGAGGCTTGTGCTCAAAATACACTATACAGGAAAATTAGTAATACCTTAATTGTATCTATACTATTATAATAAAGCGTAAACACACACTTTTTTTTTGCCTAACATGTCAGCAATCGCAGCATGTTTTTGAATAACTCTTTTTTTAATTAAAAGCCCTACACATACGACACGCTTTAGGCTATATATTTTCACGCCATTAAACTTAGGGAGTAAACATTTTGGATAAAAACCCTAATGTGGGAAAGAGACTATAAGTTGCTGCCAACATCAAGGAAGCAAGATTGCCAAGTTTGTCATGTCATGTCATTTTGACATTTGCTGGTGATAATTTGACAAATGTAAACAATGAAGTAATATTTACATAATTATATGCGGATGGAGCCGCCGGGAACAGCTAGTTATAAAATAATTAATACCTTACCATTTAATTCAGGTGCGCTTGGTGCGGAAGGTTGGTTTGTTGGATACGGAGCACCCCCACTTGGATAAGGCGCTCCC